AAACTTACCAAGGATATATATACCATTTATCCATCTCCTGAAAATATTGATAAAACCTTTTTGTGCAAGACAATAAAGTAAAACAGACTGCTCTCTGAAAATTTTGAAAACAAATTTCAGACTAAACCATCTCATTTGTACTTTTCTATGCATATATAACTTACAAACTTATATTTATGTGTATATATATAGGCTCCTACAAGAACACTTTATTCTATGAGTTCTATATTATTTATTTAGAGTGAACTTTGAGGGATTTAAAACACATAAATTGAAATGGTAGCATATTTTTCAGGTTACTGAGACTGATGAGGATACTGGAAATTTTATTTTAAAAATTCATTTTGTCCTTTAAAACAGACAAATTCACTATTATACTTTAAGGAATTTTTACTAAAGTATTATTCTCTAATGTAATCACCAAGCTGAGAGTCAATATTGGATTTTATAACATTATTGTAATATTACAGTATTACAGTTATTAACTATCATTGGATTGGTAATTATTAGTGAAGTAATAACCCTTCCAGAACTGGGGTTACTAATTCACGTAAACCCTGCCTCGTGAGCCATCGGCATTTCTGCTATAGTTGTTGTTACCCTAAGTTTTTTAATCATTGTGGTATATAAACACTAGGTGGGTGTTTGTCCAATATCCAAGAATTTAAAATAATTCATATTCCTATTGAGCATATAGAAAAGCCAGCTCTTATTTGTTCACCTTGTCTTGGGTAACTATCTAAAAAAATAATTTAGCGGGAAGGGTATAACTCAAGGGGTAGAGTGTGTGCTTAGCATGCATGTGGACCTGGATTCAATACCCAGTACCTCCTCTAAGAGTTAATAAGCCTAACTACCTCCCCCTACCAAAAAGAAAAGTGTAATTTAGAATATCTGCCATTTGAGATCAGAAGGAAAATTACATTGAATAAGATACATGAATAGGATGTTATTTTATGTCACCTGGACCGGCCAAACATTATTCCGGGTGCATCCGGGAGGGTGGTCCTGAGTGAAATTAACATTTCAGTTGGTGGGCTAGGCAAAGGAGATTGCCTTCTCTAATGTGCGTGGGCCTTATCCAATCAAATGAAGACCTGAATAGAACCAAAAAGGCTAAGAAAGGGCAAACGCCTTTTGCCTAAGTGCTTGAGCAGGGGCTTTAGTCTTTTCCTGCTTCTGGACTCGAACTGAAGTATCAGCAGTTCTTGGGTCATGAGCCTCCCAGCTTTGGGGCTGGAACTTATCAGCTTTCCTGGTTCTTAGGCCTTAGGACTCAGGTTAGAGCTCCACCATCACCCCTCCTGGGTCTCTAGCTTGCCCATTGCAGATCTTGGGACTTCCCAGCCTCCATAATCAAGCCAGTTCCTTATTGTGTATATATTTCACACACACACACATATACCCTCTGTTGGTTCTGTTACTCTGGAGAACCTTGATTAATATAGTAAGTCATCAGTTTAAATAAATCTTTAGACTTTAACATAAGTAATCCCTGAATCCTTTATCATCACTGAGGAGTTAAGGCAAAGGTAGGGTCCCAGTTAAGAAAAAGATCTTATTGAACCATTTAACCCTCATAATCAAATTTCACTCCCCTTGCTCCAACAGTCTGAGAAACAGACAAAAGTAGGATTACTATTCAGCAGTGTTGAGAATCTCAGAGAAGGCAGGTGATTTGCCCAAATTCACAAGGCTAGTTTTCTGCATTAGGACATGAGCCCAGGTTTTTCACATGCCAGTTTTATAATCTTATCACTATATGCTACACCTTTTTTGTGTCTAACAAATGAGATTTTATCATTTGGAGAAGAAACCTGTGTCCAAGTCCAAATCTATTAGTAGGTTTTTACTATTTGAGTTATCAATACTTTAACACAGGTAGTTTTCATCCAATTTATTCCTTTCAAGGATCTTGAAATATTTCTTGAAATAGATTGAATAGATACACATAAACAGATAATTTTATAACTGACATTTAAAATGTGGCGTATTGTTTTTTTGTTCCCTTAAAAATGGAACAAAATTAAAACGTATAAAAGGGTAAAGGAATCAAACAGATAACTAGTCTTTCCTGAGGGCGTTCTGGGCGTTTTCATCTTATGCTCCTTGTTTGCTATGCTTTCTACTAATGCTTGGAAATTCCTAGAAAATTAAGACATTAGCAGTGGCCATGAAAATCAGAACCCAATGGTTCAAGCAACTGTGATATTTCTGACCCAATGAGCTCTCTATGGATGTTTCATTTTCTTCTGGCTTTAGGGACTGCTTCCTGTTACTAAAAAAACATGCATATTTGTAAATACATAACCCCCTGAATAATACAGTAATTCATAATGCCCTCATAGAGTATGTTTGAATCAGCTTAAGTTAAAAAGTAACTCTTCTGTCTCCCTACTGCAATATTTTTATCTTTTCTCACAAGCAAAATAGAGGAGGAAGACAGAAACATGTGATGAGTCTTTCCGCTTACAAATTTCCAAGACTCTGCTGGAATGCTGAGTCGTACTTTTAGGTCATCCACAGTTCATCAAAATGATTAGCCAGGTCTCTACCAAATACTGAATTTGAAGCTCAAGGACAAAGACCACGCCCTAAATAAACTCAGACAGTTTACAAAGCTGAGTACCAGCAGGAATTAGCAAATGTAAGGAAAGACTGTGAGAGCCAAGGAGGAAAAGTTGATGGTGTAGAAAACTGTGCTCTCATCTCATTGAGATGAGAACAAAAGTCCTGAGATATTTAACTGTGGTTTTCCTCTTTTTTTCTTTTTTTTTTTCTTTTTTAGCAAGGTAACATTTAGATGAGGAAAATAAAATAAAACAAATGGACTAAGACAATAGAAAAAAGGTGAAAATACAGGAAAATCTAGTAAAAGGGAAATTTAATAGATGACTTTTTAAAGGCAGATCCAAGAGATTTATATTTTGAAGTATATAAAGACTTGGCTACTAAACTTGTCCCGTGATAATCATGTATAATTTTTTAATGTATGGGATATTGACAATTACAGTTTAAACCATCAGAATTGCCTTCAAGTCAGCATGGGAATATGTTATAATGGATCTCTAATTCAACCTGTAATTGCTGTCAGCATCTGATCCCTAGTTTTGCTAGAAAGAAGACTTCTTTGGGGGGAAGAAGAGGGATGATCTGTAAACTCTTTCTCCTTTGCATGATGCTTTACGCAACTACTTGGCCTTGACAATGATATATATATCTTGCTTTTTGTATTTTCTTAAATATCTGTAGAATGTCTCAGTAACTTGTTACACGTTTTATAGATAAACACCCTATTTTTTTGGTAGCCTAATGTTGATAATCAGTGTTTATTAAGTAGAATAAATTTAAAGTCAAGAGGAGTTAAAGACTTGAAAGCACAATCAGGTTAGACCCAAATGGGTTAAAAATTTATTTAGTTTGACACAGACTTCAGAAGAGACAAATGGTTCCCTCTGAACTGTAGCATCAGATCTTCTCTCTTAATCAAAGGATGAGTTCCCTGAAGATGGCATGATCCCAGTCCTTGTATTAACATTTTAAAAGTCTTGCTCTGTTATTATCTGTTTTTTTTGGTCAGGACAGGTCCTTAGGTGGATACATAAATAAAATATAGTTCTATATTGATAGAAAAGACCCATATAAAAGAATCTTGAAGAATTTAAAAGAAATTTTTATAATATATATGAGCCCACATGCATGTCTGTGTATGTGTGTAACAGTAAGTCAAATTTGGCTTTAAGACAAAGGCTTTGGAGCATAAAAGATTTACTACCTAAAAATGAAAGGAACATTTTCATGAGAAAGTCACCGTCTAGAAACTACTGTCCCAATAACAATCTTAAAATCAATAGATAAAAAATTAGCAAAATTACAAGAAGAAATGGACACATCTGCAATCATAGCCATAGACTTAACAGACTTCTCTCAGAAACTGATGGAAAGAAAGAAAAAAACCTTTGGATTTGAAAAAGTAATTAAAATTTAGTCTGGCTGTGTCTAGATCCTGCCCCAGCTATCTGATAACAACATTCTCTCAGACATACTGACCACCTAATGAATGGTGACAACCAAAGCATCATTATGCTGATAGCATTTTGTTCAGAAATATTTATAATTAATGAAGATGAAAACACTGCACATTAAGGTTGTGTGATGGAATGAAAGTGGTATTTTGACACACATTAGAAAAAAATAGAAAACTAATGTGCTAGTCATTTAACTCAAAAAGTTAGAAACAGATGAGAGAGAATGGGCATACAGAAGAAAATAAATGGAGACATTAAGTAGAAAACAAAAAAGCAACAGAAGATCAACAAAATCAGAAACAGAATCTTTGAAAGAACGTTAAAAATATCTGGCAAGATGAAGAGAAAGGAAGCAGAAAATCTATTTTATAATTAAAAATTGTTTTAGCCTTATTAATAACTTTATGCAAGTATACTTGAAAATTTAGAAATACAAGATACTGTTTTACAAAAATATAATTGACCAATATGGACTCAAAAAGGAATAGATATTCCAAATTAAATATATTGAATCAG